TGGAAGGAATCTAGGGTGAATGCGAGGGGGGATGGGGTGTGGACGGGTGAACGCACAGAACGCAGGGCGGGTGGGTGGATGGACAGGAGGGTGCCCGTGGCCACCCCTTCCTCTCCTCCCGCACCTGGATGTAGAGGTCCACCAGCTCGTCCTGCCGCAGGATGTAATAGATCTTGCCCGCCTGCAGCCAGGCGTGCGCCTCCTTCTCCTTCTCCTGGAGGTCGATGAATATCCCCAGACTCCGCTTGGTGTAGTCCAGTGCAGACTTGTAGGCCCTGGAATCGGACGCAGACATCAGAACCAGAGTCCCCCGGCCAGCGGCCTCGTGGGACCCGCCCCAGTTCTCCGGCGCCGTCTCTGGACAATGGACCCGGATGCCAGCACCCGCCCCTGGCCCCAGGGTGTGCGGTGCCCAGCCCGGCCTGGGCTGCCGGGGGAACCAGACGACCCCCCGCAGCACAGAAAGGACGGAGGGCGTTCTTCTGAGGGACGCGGGGTCGTGCCAGCCTGGGGCCAGGAGGAGCAGGTGTTGCTGTTTCCCTGCCTCTCCTGACACAGCCACATCCTCTCCAGATGTACCAGGAGCCACTGGCATCGACAGACGTTCACAGAGCATCTAGGCCTGTGGTTCTCCAGCGTGGGTGGCCACCACAGCCACCCAGAGGGCCATCTACCGCCAGCTGCGCCAGGCTCTGGTGCGTCCGTCCACCTCCCAGCACCGGGAGGGGCCCGAGAATGCGCTCTCACAACCTGCGCCCAGTGAGGGGTTCTGCTCTGCCTGTCCAGGGTCACACGCCAGAAGCACTGCTTCAGCCTTGGCCCATTCGCCTGCCATGACGCCGAGGCCACGACTGCAGCCCAAATGCAGAGTCCTCCTGGAATCCAACCCCTTCCCTGCTCTCTCGGTGGGTGCCCACCTTCCAGGGGGTGAGACCACTGTGATTTCACCCACCCAGCCTGGCTCAGGGTGCTGCGTGTGTGCCAGGACACGGGACCCCGAAACCCTGCCCCAGGGAAGCAGGGGAGACAGTGGCTCAGTCTTCTGTGAACGAGAAGCCTCTGGGCATACGTGGCTGCAGTGGTCACCTCTGAGGGGCAGTTGGGGACCAGGCGGCCCTGGCCTGGAGCTGGGTCAGTGGGTGACGACTCAGAGCAGGCAGAGGTCAGCTTGCAAGAGCCACCATGGCAAGAAAAGTGGCCCAGAAGTGCCACCTCTGCTGGGAATGAGATGCCAGTCGAGGAGGTGTGTGAGCCGGGCAGGAGGGCAAGGTGCCCGTCGGGGAAAGCTCGAGCTGGGAACGGGTCTGTGTGCTTGCACCCCCGCCCATGCTAAG